AGGTAGGTCCTGGGGGGGGGGGGTAGCATATAAATATATATATATATATATGTATGTATATATATATATATGTCGTGTATATATATATATATATATGCATAAATATATACATATATAGTGCTATGATAATTATATTATATTATATTATATATATATATATGTATGGTACCACGCAAAAAAAACACGTCAGGCACCTTGGTTGCACATGGAGCAGCCCCACGCCGCTGTCCGCATTCGTTCCTTTTTATCATTACTATTATCTACTATTAGACTATGCTGTTGCTCATGATGTATGGGGCAGTCCTCCTGAGTTTGGTTGGGGCGGTTGCAAAGTGTGGAGTGCAGTGGTAATCTCTGAGCGCATTCGCAACAGTACATATTCGTAGATTCGCAGCATCCGGAATCGCAGAATCGCAGATTCACAGATGTGCCAGATCCTTGGGTCTGTAGAATCTGCGAGTCTGCGAATCTTCGGTTCCGCGAATCTGCGATTCTGCCAAACACTACGACATTCATATTTCGCCTATCTGCCAAATGCCAAAACTAGAAGACTGTGCAGCGCCGACAATCGTATTGAGTCATCACATGCACACATGTAAAGCGTACTCACATAGCAACTCACAGGAACAAGCATAAGCAATCGACTCATGCTTCGGTCCTTTCCTGCGCCGACAACATTCACTTCGCACAGGCCAAAGAGGCCACGGAGCAAATGGTGCTCCGCGAGCTTCACGAAGACGTGTGCGTTGGCCCAATGCCACTGCGTGCCGTCAACATTACGTATCTGCCTATACATGAGCCGCTCATACATGATATGAGTTTTTTGTTGGACTCTTAAACTCTGAGCCTAAACCAAATCTTAAATCTATACGTTATTCTAGTTGGTTCTTTGTTTCTGAGATCGACACTACATTCTCTCATACAAAGGTTCTCATCGCCATCCCAGCGCATGACGCTCTTCATTGATGTTCCCCACGACGTTGCAAAGACTGACCTGGACATCGACAATCTCAAAAGCATTTCCAAAAACAAGGCCTGGAGCGACCTGCCTGTTCTCATGAAGCTAAAAAGCACTCCCAATTCTGACTACAAGACACAGCACTTCATTCAGGAGCAGTCAAATGGCAAGTACACGAACATCAATCATGTCTACTTGACAAAGCAGAGGCTCACGCAAGTTAAGCTAGAGTCCAGAGTTTTTTGTGGGGACGCTCTACGACACTGCTTGGGGTCAACGTAACAAAGTTGTGGAGTGGAAAGCTTTGCAGTGCATGTTGGAGCGAATTGGTGGACTGCAATTGAGTCTCGCTGTCGACTGAGAAGAAGTGGCCTGTAGCATCATCTGTTATGGGCACAGTTTTTACCGCGGATGACCAAGATGTGCGATGGGACTTTATCTTGGAACATGGAGAGCGTGATAGAAGTCAGTTGAAACAACCCTGTTGGATTCACAAGCACATCAACAAAGATGGCTCTCCCATGGGTGGTTGGTCTGAAAAGCTTGTGCAACCAGCCTTGGATTGTCTGGCTAATGAGAATTGTTTGGCGAAACTCATCACAAGGTATGGTCTCACTGTGCAAGATCTTCATCCAACCTTTATGTATAATATCTTTCAAGATCTATTGGATCACAGCCTCTGGTTGATGGGCGAGCCCGGGGTTGGTCAAATTTCTCGGGCTCGCATCACTGCCATGCTGCTGAGCACGTATCATGGGAGACGGACATTTTCACACTGCAGAGGACTTCGATTTCTTCCTTGGCTTACACTTTGGTAAGTCTACTCCTGCTTTTTATGATGATGGGGATGTGTCTTTCGAACACATCAACAAAAAGAAGGCGTTCTCTGATGTTGGAAACAATGAAGGCATCCTCAAGGGAAGATGGACTGCTGCAGAATTTGTCCAACGCCAACCACGCATTGTCATTGACAAGAAGTATGCCGAACCTGAGGTCACAAACCCAGGCGCAACATCCATCTCTCATGATGACTTCGTGAAGATGATCAAGGCCGCCATAGGCCACATTCCCAGCGTCGATACCAGACCCATTTTCAAAAACCCATCTTCTTCATCGTGTTTGCCATGGACTGCATCTACTACCGCCCTCCCTCACAGGATGTTACGCCAGCCGTGCGAATGAAATGGATCTTCCAAGGATATCTTGGTGGCTGAGTGCAGGCCCCGCTTCAACAACTACAAGAAGAACGGCCCACCCCCATGTGATATCGACGCCCGCATTGCCACCGGAAAGGCCTGGGTTGATGAAGCCCTTCGCATTCACTCCAAGCACTCCGTACAAACGCACCACATTCTGCCGGAGCCTGTCATCAAGATGGAACCCGCTGAGTTCGAGGAATCCCATGCAGGTTCGGCAAACATGTGTGATGGAGAGGTTCTGGATGCGGACAGCACGCCCCCGCCACCACCTGCTGAACCGATCACATACACAAGCGTCGGGTGGTTCTTTACAAGTTGAAGTTCGATGGTGTCAGTCATGATCGCGTCGTTCATACCGAAAAGAGGTCAAGGGTGGATGGCAAGTATCGCTGGGTGAAGCCGCACTATTTCAAGGTGGTGAGGCATAAAATTCCCAACGCCAAACGCACCATTACTGTACAACTTCGACCCAGTTGAGGCTCCATCGTTTACCGTGTCCGCGACATTTTCTTCAAGATCACGCCGAATGGGGGGAAGGACATTCAGAACTCACTGCCTTTACAGACTCTTAATATGAATCCACACTCTCTCTGATCATCAAGAGCCCTTCGACTCAGTAAAGAACAATGACAAAGAAGAGCTGGCGGCAGACGACATGTTTACTTTTGAGTTGGGTTAGGGCTTCCAAGAGGCGGTATCCACAATTCTGCAATAATAATAATAAGACATGATCACAGCGCTAGTCTGCCCAAAGATATTCAGATGCTGTGTTTCTGCTGAAGGTGGGGTCTTAGGGTGGGGTAGCATACCTAAACATATACATATACATATATGTATATTATATGTAAATCATATGTATTTTACATGTATATTCTCTGTATATTATATGTACATTATATGTATATCATATGTAGATTATATGTGTATTATATGTGTATTATATGTATATTATATGTATGTTATATGTATATTATATGTATACTATATGTATATTATATGTATCTTGTATATTGTATGGAGTCTATATGTATACATTTAGGTATACATACACAGGTTCTATAGGGTTGTTTGATGGTTTGATTGAGGTTCGAGGGGTTATTTACGGTTCTAGCAGGGTTGATACCCGTGAAGGCGGCTGAGTAGTGCACACCTGTGTCTCCGTACGCATGAACACTGGTATGACACACATGTCAACACCATGTCAGTACCTAAGTAGGACCATCCTGCTGCAACCTTGTTAAAAAAATTGGGTCTACAACGCATTTGTCCATAGCGTGGGGCCTCAGAGAAATGTCTTGCTTGGTTTGGTTCTCGGTTTAAAACATAATGTCCAAAAGCCTGACAAAAGGAACCCCAAATGAAATTTCAAGGGAACCCGTATCTGGAGCTCCCGTCCGTGGTCTTCCAGTTTCTCTTGGATAAACATCTAGATTCCGAAGTCGAAACATTTCATGTATATAGGGTCTTGAAGAAGTAACGATGTTATTCGATAAAATTCCAAACGCGCATAGGTATGGAGTCCCACACACAACCCTTGTTAGAACCGAATGCACGAACTTGTAAAACCTGACATGTGAGTACCAGAAAAGAGGGAACCCTACTAACATCTACCCTAAACGAGGATCCTTCTTTCTCAGGACCCCTGGAATCAGGAACAAAGGACTGCTGTTTGTTAAGAAAGCCCCAAATTCTTGCGATGAGGTTTAAAAAACAGCAGCCCAATGGCGCCATTTGGATCATGAAGCCTGTGGGCAAGTCCGGTCCCTGGGTTGTGGGGTTTGAAAGTTTTGGGATTTAGGGCAAATTTAGGGTCTAGGCAGTAGGGTTGTTGGATTTAGTTTTCTCAGGCTCTTGAAGGGTTTGATAAAGCCTTTTGCCAGGTTGCGTGATCGTTTTATTGGGTTTCTAGCACGTGTTTTCGCAGAGCATTCGATGGTTCAGCCCCGCCCTGCATGGAAGATCTGAATGCATCGGCCACAGCCTCCAAACCCTAAAATCATGATCGGCTAAAACCCAAGCTAACATAGTTCTGGGTTTTTCCAAGGCTTGGAGTTGAAGGCATTTCGGTTTTGATTGGACGCAACTGCCTTATTTCTTGTTTACACCCCCCAATGGCGTTGAACGGCTTAGGGTTCGGGGTTTCAGGGCTTAGGGGTTTAGGGTTTAGGATCGAGCGTTAAGTTAGGAGCGTCAAACCTTTAAGCCCGACACCACTAGGATGCAGATAAAGCATGGCAGTATAATTACGGTTAAGAATCCTCAGTATGGCCCAACCTAAACCCTAAACCCTAAATCCCAAACCGCAAACCGCCGGGTTCAGGGTGTCCAGCTGGAGCCTTAAGCCCCAAAACACGTCCCACCCTTAGATAGTAATAATCGTAACGAGAAGCAGATCAATCAGAAGAAGAAGAATATCAATACGAGTAGCACTCATAACAATCAAACGATAAAGATATTGGACTCTGAAGCGATACGCCCTGCAAAACTCCCAGCTGTGGAAATCCTGATGAGGTCGCAGGGTCGTGGCATTTTCCTCTTCGACAAGCTGAGCACCTCAGCTAAGTCGTGGGCTCCCTTCCTCTGATTTCGGGTTCTGGGGTTAAGGGTTTAGGATTTAAGATTTAGGGGTGTAGGGTAATGGTAGCCACAAAACTCATCAAAATTGCTGGTGTTAAGGAAGCAGCAGCTTGTGTCCATGGGTATGGGTGTGTACAGATATACCGATAAGATCATGGATAGACAGAGAAATTGGTCGATAGAGACTGATATATGATATAGAGAGATAGATTGCTTGATTGGTTGAAAAAAGGATGGATAGGTTGCTAGATAGATAGAAAGATCGATCTCCATGCAGATAGATAGATCGATAGATCGCTCGATGGATAGATAGACCGGTAGATAGTACGCTAGTACTGTAGATAAAAAAATGCAAACACAAAGCTTGCAGCCTGAGATTTAGGTCGAGGGTCTTTAGGGTGCAGAGCTTTCAGGATTAGGGGCTTATTGGGTTTAGGGTTGAGAAGTTGAGGGCTCCTCAGGGGCCTTAGGGGCGTAGAGTTTTCGGGTTTAGAGGCCCAGTTTTTTTTATTCATGGCCTTCTTTCGGGTTGAACCAAAAGTTTTAGGATTTCCGCGTCCGAGCAACAGGTCAAGTCTCCAGCTGGCGGCAGGACGCCGGGCCTCAGTCGTGTTTTTCCACAGGACTCCCCTAAACCCTAAACCC